AAGGAAGTGAGGGCTGAGATGCTTGGATTTAGCAGCTGGAAGGTGTTTGGTGAACTTGACAAGAGTGGATGGAGGCAAAGACCCTAAAAGAGTGGGTTCAATGGAGAACTTGAGAGGAGGAGTTAGTGACAGTGAGTACAGTCAACTCTTCAGGGAGTTTTGTTATAAATGGGAGCATAGACATGGGGCAGCAACTAGAGAGGGATCTGGAGTCAAGGGAGGCTTGTTTTTTTAAATTTTGTTTAAGATAGAAGAAAAAGATCTAGTAATGAAGAGGGTAAAGCTGATGCTTCACTAGAAGGGCGAAGTGATAGAGGGATGTCCATGGCAGGATAAGAGAGATGAGGACAAGAGGAATGGTTATGACGATGTTAGGGCCCAAAGGACTACATCTCATTAAGTGGAATTCTGCTTTCTTCTAACCACTAAATCTACATTTAAATTTATTTTAAACGTATTTGCTTTCTGTTGGAGGTTTGGAAGGACAGATAAAAAGCAGTAAGGCCTATTGTATATAAAACTTAGTTATTGGGTCACTGACAGCTTGGTGTAGTAGGGGAAAAGAAGAGATGGAATCTTCTGGGTAAGGTGACATTTTAAAGTGTCTTTGAATGACAATTATCTGTGCTATTCTAGTCCCTTATCAAAATTTATGATTGAGCACAGGCATAAACTTAATCATTTGAAATTTGTAGTGGAGTGAATTAAATTTTACTCTAATTTAAAACATGATCTAGTATTAAACTTTTTATCTGTGAAATTTGTTTGTTTGATATAGATTCTTCACATGCAAAGATTTTAGATACTTTACAAAAGGTATTAGGGTATGATGTTGGACTAAATCTCATTAAGCAGAATTTTGCTTTTTTTCTAACCACTTATGTGCATTTAAATGTATTTCCAAAGTACACTGTTGATTTATTTATAATATTCAAAATGTTATGACTGCGTCCGAAATCTGGAAGATTTGTTTTTTTTATCAGCTCTAACTAAAGCAGTTATCTGTGAAGTTTTGGAGAGGTGAACTATCTTCAGTTTGCAAAAAAACTGTATGATGATGCTCTATTAGCAAGATGATATACATTTCTAAAAGCAAAAATAATTTCATTTACTCAAACTTAATCTGTTTTGAATGTATTTTTCAAGAACAAATCTGTCTTTTAAAAATGTAAACAAATATGGTTAAAGTTCTGAACCACTTTAGTTACAAGTGTGAAATGTATGTTAGAAACAAATTAAGTGGATTATTAGCCAGCTTAACATTAAGAAATCACATTAGCATTTCAGACTCAAATACATTTTGCATATGGGTGGTGTAAAAAAACTACAAGCCGGGCTCGGTGGCTCAGCCTGTAATCCCGCGCCTTTGGGAGGCTGAGGTGAGTGGATTGCCTGAGCCCGCGGGTTTGAGACCCGCCTGGGCAGCAAGACCTCATCTCTACAATAAATCAAAAAATCAGCCGGGCGTGGTAGTGCATGCCTGTAATTCCGGCTACTCGGAAGGCTGAGGCGGAAGGATCGCCGGAACCCAGGAGGTCGAGGCTGCGGTGGCTGGGAGCGGCCACTGCACTCCAGTCTGAGCGACAGAGCGAGACTCCAACTCAAAAAAAAAAAAAAAAAACAAAAAAAAAAAAACTACAAGTTTATGTATAAATGTCTTCTTAAATTATAGAAATAAAATATTTGCTTTTCTTTTTTTATCAATTTCCAAATGGTGGCAATTAATATTCAATCTTCAGACTAAACACTTTGGGATTTCTGATATACACAGTATTTAAGAATAATGAGTCTAAAAATAATTTACTTTTTCTAGGTATCTGAGTCTCTTTGCAAAACTGATTAAAGCTGTAGGCCCTCTTCCAGAAAACTGTACCTATGCCCATATGTATAGAATTTAGCATATTGTATCATGGAGTTGACAGACCCCTTGAAGCCCATTTATGGGAATTTCTTAGGCATAAAGGATTTTAGGTTTTACAACCTGCCATAGATAGCTTTGTTATGTGATACTTCTTCGGAACCTTATATGCAGACTTAAAATATTTCGCCAACGTTTATTGTTGTTTGTTTCTTAGAAGAGTAACTGCTGCAGCTGGATAAGAGAAGGTGAGATCCAGTAAAAAAGTGAGGTCTAGTGGAAAAGCAAACTACAGTCAAAGGAACCTCAGGGTCCATAAGCACTTCTTCCACTTTGCTACCAGCTAGCTGGGTGACCTTTTGGGAAGTCACTTGACTTCCCAGGCTTTTTTCCCTATGACTTTTATAGTCCCTAAGAGTAGTTTTTTGAGGAGTTTCATGGCATCATGGCGAAATTTGTTGTCAGTTTAGGATTGGTTCTGCTACTGATTTTTAGAGAAAATGCTTTGCTGATAAGATATAGATACATTGTGCTGCCTTTTATTGAATACGACTTTTCAGAAGTTTATGCTTCTTTACATGCTGTGTGAGATAAAATCCCAATTCCATCCTGATCACTTGAGTCTCAACATATTTTATATATTATGGGTATAAGCCATTTTTATTATATACCTTGCAATTATCAACTTCAGTTCTGTGGCTTGCTTTTTCATTCTCTTAATGGTGTTCTTCTAATGAACAGAAGTTCCTAATTTTAATTTGGCCCAATGTATTAGTCTTTTCATTATATTTTAAAATGGTAATATTTTACTTCTTAACAATGTAGATAAAAGTTTTAGAAAATCATTTATTTAACAAATAATATTGTGGTGGATTGATAGGTAAGAAATTGTCCCCAGCCTGAAAGAGCTAACAAGAAAAGTCTAATAGGGAAGATAAACCTGCGAAAGACAGTTTGTGTCCATTCCATCAATTCCATCAATTGTTTTTAGGAAACATTTACCGAGCATTTACTATGTGCCTGGTACTGTTCTAGGCATCTTTTGAGTGGTACAGAGTCCTGTGGATATCTGTAGTGTTAATAATCCACTTTTTGGCCAGGCCCAGGAGCTCACATCTTTAATCCTGGCACTTTGAGAGATTGAGGCAGAAGGATCCCTTGAAGACAAGAATTTGAGACCACTCTGGGCAACATAACAAGACCCTGTCTCTACAAAAAATAAAAAATTAACCATGCATGGTGGCTTGTGCCTATAGTCCTAGCTGTTCAGGAAGCTGAGGTGGGAGGATCACTTGAGCCCCAGAGTTGGAGGCTGTGGTGAGCTATGATTGTGCCATTGCACTCTAGCCTGGGCAACAGAGCAAGACCCTGTCTCAAAAAAAACCCCCCAAAAACCCCAGTTTTTTTTTTTTGAGTTGGAGTCTTACTCTGTTGCCCAGACTGGAGTGCAGTGGCCGCT